ATGTGATTTGAACACAAAAATGTCACAATGATGTGATTTGAACACACACAAAAATAGGTCCCAATGATGTGATTTGAACCAAAAAAAACAAAAAAACAAGAGGTCCCAATGATGTGATTTGAACAAAAAAAAATCCCAAAGATGTGATTTCAACAAAAAAGGTCTAAACGATGTGAATTCAACAAGAAGCATGTCCCAACGATGTGAATTCAACAAGTAGCATGTCCCAACGATGTGAATTCAACAAGTAGCATGTCCCAACGATGTGAATTTAACAAAAAGCATGTCCCCACGATGTGAATTTAACAAAAAGCATGTCCCCACGATGTGAATTCAACAAAAATCATGTCCCCACGATGTGAATTTAACAAAAAGCATGTCCCCACGATGTGAATTTAACAAAAAGCATGTCCCCACGATGTGAATTTAACAAAAAGCATGTCCCCACGATGTGAATTCAACAAAAATCATGTCCCCACGATGTGAATTTAACAAAAAGCATGTCCCCACGATGTGAATTCAACAAAAATCATGTCCCCACGATGTGAATTTAACAAAAAGCATGTCCCCACGATGTGAATTTAACAAAAAGCATGTCCCCACGATGTGAATTCAACAAAAATCATGTCCCCACGATGTGAATTTAACAAAAAGCATGTCTCAACGATGAATTAGAACAATCAAACAACCCATCTCATCAGCATCTGACATCTCAATCATTAGCTTTAATCAGGTCACTGCGAACTTCATCTACCAGAAAAAAAAAAAACGTCAGATTCCTGGTAAAAAAAAAAATATTTTTATTCTATTTTTTAAAAATATGTAGAAGCTATGGGGGACACTTTGTTCAATAAATCATCATTATGGATAGCTACAGCTGTCGGCCTGTTGATTCGTATTCGAATATTCTTTTTCGGCACGGGCACGATTCTAAGACGATATAAACCTTAACGATATCTCGCAGGGATCAAGGCAAGTGGTTCATTATACACTGATGGTACCTACTAGGTACCCGATGGTGCCTACTAGGTACCCGATGGTGCCTACTAGGTACCCGATGGTGCCTACTAGGTACCCGATGGTGCCTACTAGGTACCCGATGGTGCCTACTAGGTACCCGATGGTACCTACTTTTGTCTGCTGTGTGTCTGATGCTGGAACATCTATAGAACTCGATGGTGCTAGTTATGCCTTTTGCATTAAGCTCCATTTTAACATACAAAAAGTACAAATAGTATAAAATATAAATAGTACATGCTTTATGCTTCCCGATTTTTTTACAGGTGGTGTGAGAGAGATTTTCCCCGATTGAGGATAAAATAGCTGTTGGGTATTAGGTTATTAATACATCTCATTACAAAAGCCAAACGGTTAAACAGTTTTAAAACGTATTGGTTGACTAAAACTACATCACTCATACATAAGTTGCTATATCATAACACAAAATATTTCAGCCCTCATAAAGCGGTTAAATAAAGCCATTTATATCCGCCTCGGTTTGATATAAACTACTGACATAGTAGACTATGTAAAGTGTAAGTAATGATAGATGCCGAGGTGAATCCACCTGTGTAATGTTTGGGTAATCAGATAAAAGAGTCCCCTGCCTCTGTGTTATCTGTCTCAGTTTTACTGTCTAACGTCGCTACAGGAGACCTGAAAAGTACTGAAGACGGATCAAGTACAAGAGAAAAACAGATTATCTACCCCAGGGGCATGTACGCGGGGACGCTGAGTAGAACACACTGGGCGGGGACTGTTGGGGGAGGGGTGGGGGTAGAGATTAAACAAGTAATTATTTAAGAAAAGGATTTAAGTAGAAACATGGGAATAGGATGAGACAGATTAGGCTGGGTGCATGACTCGGCTGTATGGAGAAGTTAGTATGCGCGGATAACAAAAACAAAAGGACTATACAGAAGAAGTAAGTCTATGCGGATATTGTCATGGTAAACTTTCGATATCAAAACACTAAAACCCAACCTATCCTACACGCTAAAATATCATACTTCCTTGTTTAACCAGAGAACGAGGCCTATGTATAGAGCGCATTTTAAATATCCTTTTTTTCAGTCAACTTTTAAGATTTGTCTCCGACTTAAGAAATTCCGATCGATCCATTCAAGTGTCAGTTTGACATTGATTATGTGTTAGGAAAACCCTGGATAAGTATGTGGAAGCCAGTGGCAATCAGAGCAAGCTTAAAAGACAGTCAACAAGCTATCTAGGGAATGTCGGCATAACCGAATGCACACCAACATATGCATGTATATACAAATGTATATACATATTATGCATATATATATACATATAAGTATATATATATATATATATATATATATATATATATATATATATATATATATATATATATATATATATATATATGTATGTACAGTAAAACTCGAAATGCAGGTATTCGTACACTCCATACTAAGCTGACCGATATAAAAAAAATATGTGGTCAGCAGCTTCAACTTGCCCGCCCCGCTTATTTATTGCTACAAAGCATTGTTCCCCGAAGTTTATTGTTTTAGGGGAACAACACAGTCTAAGTTTACCACAATGGAGACAACTCATCTGAATGAACACCACAAATGACGCTCCTGTTCGTTCATAAAAATTATTCCGTATTATACCTTACATATCAAAGGCATTTCAAAGTTGTATCAATTTACTACAGTTCATTTGTTAATTTGGGACAGAAGTTTATTTTTAAGACAATTACGCGGCAGTATGAAGCAGAGGCAGAAAAAAAATAGCAAATTATCTACTCAGTCCAAATTACCTTTATAAAGTGGGTAAAACTAGACATAACCCTTACAAATCGGGTAAAACTAGTCTAATGAAAGACATCTAAAAAAGTGGGTAAAACTAGCCTAATGAAAGACATCTAACAAAGTGGGTAAAACTAGCCTAATGAAAGACATCTAACAAAGTGGGTAAACTAGCCTAATGAAAGACATCTAACAAAGTGGGTAAAACTAGTCAATTATCTAACAAAGTGGGTAAAACTAGCCCAATGAAAGACATCTAACAAAGTGGGTAAAACTAGCCTAATGAAAGACATCTAACAAAGTGGGTAAAACTAGCCTAATGAAAGACATCTAACAAAGTGGGTAAAACTAGCCTAATGAAAGACATCTAACAAAGTGGGTAAAACTAGCCTAATGAAAGACATCTAACAAAGTGAGTAAAACTAGCCTAATGAACGACATCTAACAAAGTGGGTAAAACTAGCCTAATGAACGACATATCCCTAACAAAGTGGGTAAAACAAGCCTAATGAAAGACATCTAACAAAGTGAGTAAAACTAGCCTAATAACATCCTCCTTACAAAGTGGGTAAAACAAGTCTAATGAAAGACATCTAACAAAGTGAGTAAAACTAGCCTAATGACACCCTCCTTACAAAGTGGGTAAAACTAGCCTAATGAAAGACATCTAACAAAGTGGATAAAACTAGCCTAATGAAAGACATCTAACAAAGTGGGTAAAACTAGCCTAATAAAAGACATCAAATAAAGTGGGTAAAACTAGCCTATTATCTAACAAAGTGGGTAAAACTAGCCTAATGACATCCCCCTTACAAAGTGGGTAAAACTAGCCTAAAGACATCCCCCTTTCAAAGTGGGTAAAAACAAGCCTAATGAAAGACATATATAAAAATGGGTAAAACTAGTCTAATGAAAAACATCTAACAAAGTGGGTAAAACTAGCCTATTATCTAACAAAGTGGGTAAAACTAGCCTAATGAAAGACATCTAACAAAGTGGGTAAAACTAGCCTAATGAAAGACATCTAACAAAGTGGGTAAAACTAGCCTATTATCTAACAAAGTGGGTAAAACAAGCCTAATGAAAGACATCTAACAAAGTGGGTAAAACTAGCCTATTATCTAACAAAGTGGGTAAAACTAGCCTATTATCTAACAAAGTGGGTAAAACTAGCCTATTATCTAACAAAGTAGGGGTCGGCGTGGTCGAGTCGGTAAAGCTCATGGTTGCTAAACCGAAAAGTCTCGAGTTCGAACCCTCGGGCAGATGAGGCTCGTTAGCTGGGGACAGCCACTCTTCTAGGAGAGACAACTCCAAAATTAAACAACTGCTGCCTTGTAGTTTGTTCTTGGTTGGACAAAGGCTATGGAAGCAAATCCAAAAAGAAAAGCAGGCTGAAATCGGAGTCAATGGCCTCAATGGCGCATAACCAATTGACACGTAACGCTTAATTGTGTTGGAGGCGTGGTCGAGTCGGCAAAAAGCTCATGGTTGATAAATTCGAACAAAAGTCTCGAGTTCAAACCCACTGGCAGATAAATCTCGATCCCCTTCAACACTAATAATTAAGAACGAAGAAGAAGAAGAAGAAGATCTAACAAAGTGGGTAAAACTAGCCTATTATCTAACAAAGTGGGTAAAACTAGCCTATTATCTAACAAAGTGGGTAAAACAAGCCAAATGAAAGACAAAGTATTGCAATGAGTAGCCATGAGTCACAGGGACCTAACTGAGTTAGGTGTTGTGAGACCTGAACAAATCCCTCCCACAGAGAGGACCCTACGCCAGCTACTATAAACATAAAAATAACCCCCCGCGCGCGTCCCCCTACCCCCTCCCACACACCCCCTCCAATCACTCCCCCTCTCCTAAAAAGAAAAAAAAATCGATGCCACGACTGGCAACGGGTGCCTGGAACCAGTGGTGTGCGAGACGGAGTGAATTCTGGCCGGCTATTTTTAGCGGCAGCGTTCCAGTGAGTGCTGTTTAAAATATCGTACTAATACAATCACGGAGTTCAGGGGACTGCTCTAATTTCTCTGTGTGTCCATGTCACAAAATGTTGGGTGCCGTGACGCGGTGTTGTCTGCCGGCTTCGTGCCGGCTCTTTCTGTGACAGTGTGTGACCGTGGATGTGACCGTGGATGTGACCGTGGATGTGACCGTGGATGTAACCGTGGATGTGACCGTGGATGTGACTTGATGGTGAGCAGTGACGCCGGAGCCAGTGAACATGCGAGGTGTTTTAGTTGATTAGAGACGTTTTTTTTTCTATGGTGAAAGCAATTCACGTGCATCGTTGGGATTCACAAAAACTGGCGGTAAGGAATCGATAGCTGATCAATAATTTGATGTCTTAATCTGTGGTGCCATTTGCGGAGATCTTACTTGGGGCTATCTATGGTAGGATAACTCGACTAAAGGGCAGGATAGCGGTCCTTGTCATCTTAATTAGAAACACCGCTTCAGGGGAGATCAGCGTGTTGTTCTTCGGATTGATCCTACACAAGGATGTGTCGGGTGAGGAATATTGTTCGTATTTTCTGATGTTGGATTAGATGTTGGATTAGATGTTGAATTAGATGTTGGATTAGATGTGTATAAGAGAGTTGATGTAGGAATATCGATGACAGCATGAGAATTCACATCGATCTGTACCCTGACAGTGACTTCCCCTTCCTGGTCCCGCCCCTGAGGGAATGTCTGACGACCCAGGCGCCGTGTGTTATGGGACTGGCACCCAAGAACACAACCGCCTACTGGAACGAGATATCCGACTACTTTTGCTTTCTAGCGCTTCCGGTTATTGTGACTTTCGCTTTCGTGACGGAGTTGATGAGCATCATTGTGCTGGCTAGACAGGTGCGTCAGTCGTTGGATACGTACCTCCTGGGGCTGAGCCTCGCCACGGTCCTGTTGCTCACCTGCACGGTCATGCTGTCCCTGCAGCACTACGTGGGTCCTCATGCAGTGCTCGTCTACAGCCAGCCCTACACAGCGTCGTGCCGCGACTGGTTCTGGTACAGCGCCATCTGGCTACTGGTCATGATGAGCTTCGAGCGCGTGCTGACCGTCTCCGCCTCGCGAGCCAGCACGCTGTGCTCACCCAACCAAGCCGCCGTCGTCGTGGTCATGGTCTTCGCCGTCGGACTGGTCAGTTCCTTGCCGCGGTTCTGGGAATACCAGGCCCAGGAGGTGCTAGATCCGGTCAGCAACACAACGAACCTCATCGCGGAGAAGACTTTGTCTACAACAACAGAGGAGTACAACCTGATGTATTTCTGGTACGTCAAGGGCGTCACTCTCTTCGTGCCGTTCTTCATGATGCTGCTGATGTGTGGTAGCATGGCGTGCCGCGCTAGACGCTCCGTGTTAACCAAACGTTACCTGGCCATCAAACACACCAGCGGTCTCACGCTGAACCGTAAGATCAGGGAAGAGGTCTGCTTGTCTAGGCTTCTCATTCTTCTCATGGTGCTTTACATGGTCTGTTCCGCCCCTGCCGCCATCTTGGATCTTGTGGCTCACACGGCGCCTGAGATGATGGACCCAGCGTCTAGAACTTTTGCCAGCCTTTATAACCTCTTCACCGTGGTGTTTTTCTTCCAGTTCGCCCTCCACCTCATCATCTACTTCTGCTTTAACAAACAGTTCAGGATCACGATGTTGGCGCTCTTTTGTTGCTGCTGCTAGCACTGGACTGCTATCGGAATTGTACCACTGACGGCACTGTTGTGCTGTCGGCCGTGTCCTGCTGTCGGCACTGTTGTGCTATCGGAATTGTACTACTGACGGCACTGTTGTGCTGTCGGCCGTGTCCTGCTGTCGGCCGTGTCATGCTATCGGCAAGTCTTACTGCTGCTCTTAGCGATGTCAACACTGCCCAGCTCATGATAGAGCTGTCCTGCAAACAGTCCTACCCTGCTGTCAATGCTGTCCTGCTGCTGTTATTATCCTGCTGTTAGTGCTGTACTATGCTGCCAGCACTACTCTATAGTTAGCATCACGTCCCTGCTATTAGCACTGCCACGCTGCTACAGTTAGCACGGTCCTGCTACATTCACCGTCCTACTACAGTTACCCTAGAGTTAGCACCCTCCTGCTACAATAAGCACCATTTTGTTGCAGTTAGCACCATCCTGCTACAATAAGCACCATCTTGTTGCAGTTAGCACCATCCTACTCAGTTAGCACCCGACTGCTACAGTGAGAACCATGCTGCTACAGTTAGGAACCTACAGTATCAGCAAGCATCGCCCCACTACAGTATCAGTAAGCACCGCCCCACTACAGTATCAGTAAGCACCGCCCCACTACAGTATCAGTAAGCACCGCCCCACTACAGTATCAGTAAGCACCGCCCCACTACAGTATCAGTAAGCACCGCCCCACTACAGTATCAGTAAGCACCGCCCCACTACAGTATCAGTAAGCACCGCCCCACTACAGTATCAGTAAGCACCGCCCCACTACAGAGCCCCGTCCTACAGCAGCTAGCTCCATCCACGCCTCCCTATACCCCACAACATAGATAATCAATGCGCCACCCTCTGGAGCATCATCAATTAGACATGCAGAAAATTACATTGTTGGTCGCCATGGCTACGCTGAAAACTACTGTACATTCAAATAATTTACAAGTCTAGTATGGATCAAGTATACACAAAAACATCTTTAATGGGCGTCCCATTAGAGAGAAAAAAGTGTTGTTTTCGTTATTTTAAAATACGCACCCCCGCCCTCCTCCCTTTCCTGCTTCTATCTGTGTTACGTTTTAATAAGTGAACCATTTGGATTGAGGTTCTCAGCTTGTAGCAATAAGGTACACCCCAGTGCGGGAGATGTTATGAGATTGTACACAGCGCCCCACCATCAAGAAATGAAATCAGTAGAAAGTTTGCAACAGGAACCTTGATATTCCACATCTAAATCATGCTGGTGTGATTCTACACAGCGATATGGGCGCTGTGCTGCACTATTACAAAAGTTTATGACTGTTATTCCTGATGTAAAACCGATATTTTTAAATATATATATATATATATATATATATATATATATATATATATATATATATATATATATATATATATATATATTCGTCAGTGCTTTTATGTCACGTTATAAAATTGTTATACCACTTAGACAAATGTTATATAAATCACATGACACCTATAATTTATTATCTCACTAAAGTTAATTTCTAGAACAGCTGTGCTACGCATTGAAATGACTTTTTTCACAGTTTAAAGCACAATAAATGTCTTTGTAAGCACATTGTATATATATAACAGCAAAACTTGATATAATTAGTATTATATTCTTCAATGAAGTTGATAGTGTATTTTATTAAGTTCTGTAAACATATTATTGTTTTTGACACAAAAGCTTGTATTATGTGAATTATGACTTAATGTAGACAGATCATGAATGTAAAAAAAAATAGCATAACCAATTTATTCCAGAACTATAAACAGAGCTATAAAGCTTTAACAAGTGCCTGCGTCATGTATGTTTTACATTGGCTACATCAGCATCATGTTCAATGTACATTCACTTTTGTCGGATACAACTCACATACAGCAAAATCTATGTCATCATACAGAAATCATTTCGTCGTATAGGGATAGCTTATTTATAAATAGTTGCACGACATAAAGCACATACATGTATGGTGACATGATTCACAACATTCAATATATGGTAGTCTTCTACTACATACACATACATGTATGGTGACATGACACAACTACATTCAGTATATAGTGGTCACATACCACAAGCACATACATGTATGGTGATATGATACAACTACATTCAATATATGATAGTCGCATGCAACAAGCAGAAACGAAAACAGTTCAACAATATGACAACATGCACGTTCATACTCACACTAAAAAACTGACCAAGGAAAAATAGCTTAAAGCATTTACTTGACTGCGTCTAACTTACACAGACACAAGTATATATATATATATATATATATATATATATATATATATATATATATATATATATATATATATATAAAATATATGTATATATGTATATGTACATGTGTATATATATATATATATATATATATATATATATATATATATATATATATATATAGGCCTATATGACTGCTTTTAATGGCTATTTAGTCATTATAAAATGGCCGTTAGTGGCTAGCAGAAACAATATGAGAACCGCTATAACGAATTGTATTTGACTTATTTGTACACTGCTAGCCTGTAATTCACTATCCAACCCTCTAATCCACACAACCACAGACATTATCTGCCTTCCTTGTCCCCTGCAAATAGCTCCCCACTTATCTCCCTGTCGCACTGTTTTTTATCTGCAGACCATTGTTAATTCTTCCCTCCCTTTAACCTTTAAAAGACTTCCTGTAGATTCTACGTTTATATCGAACAAGTCCTGAAAAAAATGGGGCCCCAGTAGCGTTGGCCTTTTAGCAAATAACCTCCCATGTTTCAGTGAGACTGACGTAGGTACACATTCCTCCCCCGCCTCCGTCGCATATGAACTATGTCTGTATGTCTGGAAGGTTGCAGACTATGAGTAAACAGAGCAATCGAGAAATATGAACTGAAATCACACGAATTGACTGAGTGTAATGTGAAAAGAGCAGACGGAAGACACCATTTACCCAGACCATAGACCTATCAGAAAGGGGAAAAAATGGTTTTATATCAGTAAAGAGCTTGCCTGTTCCATTAATGGGAATGAAAGAGTGAATTTTAAATATAAATGTATATGGATGGCAAAAATGTTGATGAAAATATAAAAACAATAAAATGTTCAAATTGGAAATATTCATTTTTTTCATTGTATTTTAAATTGTTTATTTAAAACGTATTAATATTTAAATCATCCAAGCATTAAAACCGTATTTAAAGTTAAATATAAAATTGACTTTTTAAGACATTATCGAAAGGGCTCAGTACTATTTGTCTTTAAGATAATGTATATAATATTTTGTATGTAAGTGTAAAAGCTTTACAAAATGTGTGGTACTTTTACTCTGTATCAAAATAGCACGAAAGCCTCTGTCCAGTTATAAAGTGTTTGTGTATCAGTTCTACAATGTTACAATATTCACATCACATTTATTTCATTCTTTTATCGACAGTTTTTATTTGTTTGTTTTCTTTAGCTTTGTTTTTAATTAATTGAACCCACGCACGCGACCGTTGTTTTTAATTGATTAATTAAACAAGATTCCTGATTACTAATGCGCTGCCTCTTAAGACAAATATGCCCGAGACACGCGATATAAAGTATAACACTACAAGATATAGGATTATATGGTATAATACCACACGATATAATGTATATTACATGACACGATATTAGGTATAACACTACACGCCATAAGGTATAGTACTACACGATATAAGTTATAAAACTACACGGTATATATATATATATATATATATATATATATATATATATATATATATATATATATATGTAACTGGGGTAGGCCTAACTACCAGTTACAAATGATAACGAACGAGAGGTCGCGACGCAGTTACAATCTGATGTAACCATAACAGGTGGCTTATTGGATCGGTCTGATAACAACCTCAAAGCCAACGCGTGCTATTTTGGGAAACGGTATGAGAAGTTTCAGACGAGCTGTCAACTTTGATGGATGGGACGCAGATGTTTTAGTGAATCGGACGGTACGTCAGAAACTGCGACATTAGTATTCGGATACATCGATTACAAGTATCGATTACGGAAATGGAGACAAGTACGACTGCGATTTCAAGGCATAAATAGGAGGGGACGGCAGAACTCGTTCTCTTCCCGTTGGGGCGCTCTCTCTTCCCGTTTCAGCGAGCTCTCTTCCATCTTCATCGCTCGCTTAGATCAGTCAGTCTGTGTGACTATGTCAAGTCGGTTATAGAACGGGTTAGCCGTATTGTGTTAAGGAGGATTATAGACATGTGGATTCAGTTATATAAAGCCTAGTGAAGGACTGTTAGGGGTCAGTTGATTCAGACTATTATTGAGAAGCATTCCTGTTGATTTATTGTGTTATTATGAAGCATTTCTTGATTCATGTAATAAAGGATCAATAGCGAACCTGCATCTTGAGTATCTATACTGTGGTCAATGTTGTCTAGAATGAGTGGTTAAACTCGTTAACACGTGGCACTACAGGCAATTAGGTCTCATTACATGTGGCGTTGCGAGCATGGTAACTGTTGGCTCGTTACAATTGGCGTTGTCGGCAGGATAAATGTTCGCTCGTCACAATTGGCGCTGCGATCAGGATGAATTCAACTAGACTTGCCGTTTAAGGCACCTATAGTCAACCTTGTGCATAACTGTGTTTAGTGTGTGTGTGAATTCGGACATTCAGGAACTGTGAAAATTGAGGAACGAGGAAAAATTTTTCATACACACACGGTAAGAAAGAACTCTTTTTTTTTAGTACTTAAGGAAGAAAATGTCTACTCTGGACGAGAAGCAGACCCATATAGTGGTCCTACCCAGAGAGTCCCATATTAACAAATTTTACGGGGACGGAGACCCAACTTTAACCAACAGGTTCAGTGAAGAGGTCAAAGCGGCCTGGGCCTCGAGACATATGTCACCAGAGGAAAGATTAAGACTGCTGATGGGCAGTATAGGTGAAACGGTTAGGGCAGAGGTTAAGTGCCACGATAGGA